AAAAATTTTGGGATTTTTATGGATGCCTGAAGCTAGCTATTGTTTTAGCCGTCTATGTGGTTCGGGTCCGGTACCATTTGCGCACGGGTTTTAATCTCTCACACTTGTCTTCATCGGTGATATTTTAAAGGAGTCTGGTTGCTTTTGTTTTTAAACCTGTCCACGTCGTTATCATCATGAAACGTTTTGACTTCATGTCCTTCGCATATTTCCTGATTTGGAGGGTTGCCAATTCCTTTTCATTGCTATTAATAACTAACTGCTTTTGACCTCCCCGATTGTTCGTCTCGCCTGGAATCTCATCATGCGGTCATTGTTTCGGTTGCAATGACAATCAGCAAGATTCGCACTAACGTTCCCATTTATGCCCTTTGCACATTACTGTTAATTGTGATTGGGTGTTTTATTGGATTAAACGTAGTGTATCAATCGAAATCAAAAATGCATCGAGTCAAGGACCTTGGTTATTTATAGAGCTTTCCACTTATTTTACTAACGTTTCTCCCGTGTGATCCATGTCCTGTGCCCCAAGGCTCCCGATTTTGTCAAATCATGATCTTAGTGCAATTGCGAACCAGTCATTGGCTTCCACTTGTTCCACGTCTCCAGTCTACAAGTCATGTAAGCTTTTCTGTACGTCTCTGGGATAATCTCATTATTCTAGGTGGTCTTTCGAGTGTCACACGCCTTACTGCCACTACATGCTGTAGCCGTTTCTCTGTGCAACTGCTTCGTCTCAATCAAATGACCTGTCAATTCGTGTTGGTTACCTGCAAGCAGCATCACAATGCGACATTATTACACGTGGCCTACCGTGTTTTTAATTCTATATGACCATTTTTCCTAGTGTTTCCCTTTTTCTCATTTTTACACATTGAAGTTTTTTTTTCTTTACATGCCTTTGTGCATTAAGTTATGCGTGCGGGTCCTCATCTTAGCATCTAATTCAGTTGCCGACACGGAAGATGCTTTTAAAAGCCCAAGTTGAGGCAAAAAACTACACGCAAGTCGGCAAAAGCAGATGCCTTTTTTATCCCATCGACCGACGTCACTGTTGCCTGATTGGTGCGGCGAAGCACAGGAGGACGTCATGATAGGCCTGCGAGCGCTAACGTGCGCTTGGGCGTGCATGCGAAAGGGTGGCGGATGATGAAGGTGGAGGGGATGGGAAAGAGGTAGGCGGGATGTCTCTTCAGCGCTCTCCCCCCTCTCCTCTCGTCTGATGCGAGGAGATGCGCTCCATTTCCGAAACACCCACTACCTTTAAAGTGTCGGTGCAAAAAGAGCTTGATTTCGGTCATAGTTTAACAAAAAGTCCATTTATAAATTTTGCATTATGGGCTCTTACGCTCGCTCTACCATGACCACGCCACGGGACGTTAGGGGACTAGGCGAAAATCATGGCAAAGGAATTGAAAAGCTCACCAACGGTTTCGTGTTTGAGATTCTTAAATCAGCGAATGGACGCCTAGATGCTTTGTTATGCGGCCTCGATGCAAGCATACATAGATACGTACTGTTGTAATGTCAGCCTAGCTACCTACTGTTATGAGCAGATGCTGTCCTCGTTCCCAATTAATTCTATTCAAGGTCTAGCATAAAATGCACCATTAAGTGCTTTCGTCTTTCATTTGTTGATATACCAAATTGGATTTCGAGGTTGCTTCTGCGTTCGAAATTCCCTCGGAACCATCTTTCGCATCTTCTTTGATCGACCACCTTTTCATTGAATAGGAAAAATATTTTCGTGGCTTATTTGGCTAACACTACTTATTCTTGCCAAATTCGTCAGTAATTCCTCCCATTATGGTACCTCGGGCTCCGCATCCTCCGTCTCAAGCAAGCATGAATGGAGCAGATGGAATGGGTGGCTATGGTCACCACCACCACCACCATCATCATGCCGCCTATCGACCAGGAATGTCTCAGCGTCTTGGAGGAGCAGCGTCGGGCGGGGCCTCGCGTCACACCATGATGGACTATACTAGTAGCGGGGCTGGCGGTGGTGGTGCAGCTGCAGCCGCAGCTGCGGCAGCAGCGGCCTATCGCACTGGCGCTCCAACGCAAGCTGGATTAATGGCACCTCCTCCGTCGACAGGTCTTCCACAGACACCCTACGGCGACACACCGAGTTCATCACACCACCTAACAAGTCTCACCGCGCTGCTCAACTCCTCCACTGCTGCTGGTTGCTGCAAATTTGAGGAGGAGATGGATACCTCGGGGTCTCTGCTGGGCACCAGCATGGCACCCCCTTGCGTCACTCTTGATGAGGTATGACCTCTCCTACTTTGTCCTCCCTCCAGCCCTTTTCCATAATTACCTATCCACTCGCCAATCCTATCGGCTAATTGTTCCATTTCATCCTATTCAGCTACCAACTCAGGTACTACTCTTAATGGGCATTACTCAGTCAAACCTAATCCAATATTCGCCTAATTCTCTTTTTTGTTACATGTCTCTCTTACTCATTTTACTCATGTGTAACATTGCTTATTTTATTCTATCGTTATCATTCTTGGTGATTCCCGGTGGGATTTAATTCGACCAAGATCAGAACACCAATCTCTTTAATTGACTAATTGTGTCAGCATTGCTACAAAGAGGAGTACGACCCAGAAAATCGTATGCCCTCGCATTGGCTTTCCATTTCCTCGATACGTAACAAAGAAGATGTTGGGCGGAAGCAGGAGCATTGCAATCTCTGTCTCCCTGTATGCATTCCCAGTGAAAATCTACTACACTCCCTCATTGAACTCACTGAGTTCCTGTTCAAGGCATCTGGAATTGTTTTTGTGCTATGCAAATTCATCTGCTGGTGAATGTGTTTACTCCCATTTTGCAGCTATTATAACAAGTTTTCCTGTGGTAGCAGGTGCATCTAACTTCCCTGCACGTGATGGTGTAGAACTCACAAAACTCTAATCTCTTTTCAATGAGACTGGGCTTAGCGTTTCGGAATCACCTCACTATTAACCAGTCTTCAATGGACCTATGTGGAGCACATGAAGGCCATAATCAGTTACTATATGGATCTCTTTCAGAACGCAGACCACGAAGTCCTCGGTGGTACGCCCCACGTGGTCTTTTCCACTCCTCTTGTGTCCTCAGGAGTGGGTGCTGGAATGGGTTCCTCCTATCGCTCATCTGGTGATGACTCGACTACTCGAAGCAGTAGTCCACACACTGGTTCCATGTTAAGGTCAGTGCTGTCGGGCTTCTATTCCTCATTGTGTACATGTTCAAAAGTTGCCTTAAAGTTTGATAAGGAAAATAAAGGTGTGATTTTTTAAATTTCGGTTCACTGATCGGTCGCCTAGGCCACCGTGACGTTGATGAGTGGAATGAAAATAAACAAATAAGTACTAGCGCACATTAATTCGTGATAGGATAGCTTTCAAGACCACGAACACATTGTACGTATTTAATCATTGCCTGGGACTAATTTCAGCTGCCTGTGCTCCTACTGGTTAGCTTCTTCAACCATCTGTTGCTAAGCAAAGCGAAGGTAGCATATCAAATAAGCATTTATGTGGACTCTTGTCTCACATGCACATGCAAATGTATCGGAAATCAACGATGTATTTAGTCTGGCGACCTTGAGAAAGCGAGGAATGCGTTGTATTAAATACTTCTACCGTTTTTGTTAACCAAACATGATTTTTTGGATAATATTACTTTTGATTTGAATTTTCGGATTTGTTTGGGTTCAACTAGTTTGGTACATTTGACTCTTCACAAAATGTAGGTTCATTGTAATCGAAAACGCAGCTTCGATTATCATTGTGGCGTACCTAAGTAGGGAACTGGCATTGAGGAAAATGGAATATGCAATTACACTGATCTTCAAAGGAGGTCGATTTGGCTGTTACGTAAAAGGATTCCCGATATCTTTTGACTGTAGTTATCTGTCACATGGGCTGAAGAACAGCATGGCAATGAAATCATCTCCATCTTCAACCTCGTCACCACCGCAGACAAGCCCGACAAACTGCTCGAAAACGACAGCGACGGTAACAGGGAAGTCGGAGGAGGGCGGGGAGTCCTCGGTTGGCCTCGCTGGAACCACGGACGCGCTAAGTTGCGCGGCACCGGGGAGTAGCAGCAGTGGTGGAGGTAGTGGGGACGCTGTCTCCACTGGCGGTCTCGACTCCCGTTCTCCAGGGGCTCTGTCAAGGGACGAGAACTGTCTCAGTGAGGACAATGACACTATGGACACTGGGCTAGGTGGGTAGAGACCGGCTGCCTCATCGGCCTCCTTTGGTAGTGTCCAATCTTAACTCCTAAGCTGCAGTTAAAAGGGTAAAGTATAAACTATTAGGTGGACAAATAGATTGGTGATTAGGGTAAAGTAACGGTTTGCTCCGCCGTCATTTGAAACAATCAAATACTGAATGAGGGCCAAGTAAATTGTAGTACATTCACGTTCCGGCTGGAACTGGGAACTCAGTCATCAACGCACTGATTGTTCATCTCCACATCCTGATTGAAGTTGCTCCATCGACAGTGTTTTCTATCATGGGGATAATTATCATTGAGTTAACCTGCGCCACTGTGCTTTACATGCTTGTGAAATGAGCACCACTCGTAAGCCACAAGTCTCTTTTCTTCACTATTTCAATTGGAACATCTCCTTTTTGTTCACCTCCCTTTCAAAAACGGTTGATATAAATGTTTATGTGACTGCGTACGCCTCTCCGGCTTGAATGTTGGCCTAGCCTACTTTTTTGAAAATAACTACCATGGGTAAATTAAATTCTTCACTTGTCTACCTTTCATTTGTAGCTGTACTGAAAGGCAGCCATTCATTGAACGTTGCGTACATAGCCCCACGTCTAAGGATTGGGCAACGCCATATGATCTTGTCGTGGGTACTTTAGGATGTACGAACTTCGGTGCAACTTTTTCATCGATGCAGTTTCGTTAAAATGGTCGCCTCCTCATATGTTTCCCTAAAGCCTCATGCATTAGTATTTTGGGTTGGTAAAAGCATTCATTTTGGTGAGGAAAAGTTGAGATTTTTGTGGTTACATACTACTGAGGCGCATTTGTTCTCGCCACCATTCATTTAGACACGCTGAACGACATAACCATTGATGACTCGGCGCACACCTCAGTGGCCTACCAGGAGCCAGACTATTGGTGTTCTGTGTATTACTACGAGACGAACACGCGGGTTGGCGACACCTTCTACTGTGCCTCTCCCTGCCTCACCGTCGACGGCTTCACCGATCCTTCCCGCGAGAACCGCTTTTGTCTCGGACTTCTCAGCAACGTTAATCGGGGTCACCAAATTGAACTTACTCGTCGACACATTGGTACACTAATCATTCATGCTTCGAAAATGCTCGTCCGTGTGTTGTTTCGGGATAGTTAGCTCACCTCGTGAGGCCGATAAGTATTGGTTTTCAGATAGCATCTCATGTATAATGAAGGTCGAGTTACTATTTGGTAAAATCGGGGTAGCTCGTGCGTTATATTTTGTCAAATTTACACTTGCACGAATTTCTGTCAGCGAAGACTTTTTACGAGGCAAACTTTTTGTATGACAAGGTAGCCTTTTGTATAAAGTGGAAATGAGCGCGCGTACTTTCACATTTTCTTTTCCGGGCTTTTTCTGATTAATGCATGTGCATTACTGAAGTACGTAGTCACTAACTTGGAGAAATCTGCAGGCTGCCTATACCCTTTCGTACCTGCAAACCTATCACCTTTCGGGTTGTTTGAGGCTTTAAAAGGAAGCTCTCAGTGCTAGCACGCATTCCATCCTGCCGATATACGCACCGGTTTTGTTGTATAAGGCAAATGTAATTATTTCTCGCCCGGAAGACTTGACTCCGTGGCCACAATCACAAACTCTTCCTTTACTCATTGCATTTAAAAATAACTCTTCGCAAAGATCGACTACTCACTCAAATATGGAGTTAGCACAACAACTTGGTTGTTCTATAACTCGGGTTTTATGATTTTAGCTACCCATATAAAGTAATTTTCAGTGTCATTATTATTAGGCATCCCAATTGTGCGCACTTTGGTTGAGGTCACAGGGGTCATGCTTTAGGGAGACATGTTTACGGTATGGATCACGTGCGTTGTGGTGTGGGGCTTTTCTCCAATAGCCCCAACCCAGTTTTCTAAAAGCTTAAAGCTGTTGTTCTGGGCGCTACTTAGCTGCGGCGTTACCGTATTTGTTGTGCTAGCCTACTTCCTTTGCTCCTTTTCAATGCAGGCCACGGTGTCGCTCTCTATTACATCGGTGGTGAGGTTTTTGCGGAGTGTCTGAGTGATAGTGCAATCTTCGTTCAGTCGCCCAACTGTAATCACATGTACAACTGGCACCCGGCTACGGTGTGCAAAATCCCACCAGGTTAGCTCCTGCTATCGCTAGTCTTTTTTTTTTTTGTTCCTCCGTTTATTCCTTTTTTTGACAACGAGAGAGTGGAGTGACAGGGCCTTAACTAACTCTAGGCTATGCTGGATCAACCCATGATCTCGTTTAAATGGTGCATCTTTGGTTCATAAAAGGCGAATAACTATTTTGTGATGCTGGACTACATCGGATAATTGAATGGTTGATCAACCATTTCTAGATTCATTATAGCGTTAGTAGCTTGCTAAGTGCGCTTACTATTCCTCCTTTTGTTATTGTACTTTTTTCCCATGTTATTATTTTTTGAACTGTGCCCTTGTTCTTGGTGTGGATAAATGACGTAAGGAATTTTGTGCATAATTCACAGATAAACTAAAATTATCACACCTCTTAACGAGTATCAACTCACTTCAGAACGAACCAGTTGAGGGCCGGATAAAAAGTGATTTGCGGTCGAACGAAGTCTTCTCCTATCACCACACTTGACCAGATTGTACTTTATAGCATGTATGTATGTGTAGGTTGCAATCTGAAAATCTTCAATAATCAACACTTTGCGGCATTATTGAAGGAAAGTGTCAACAATGGCTTCGAGGCGGTCTACGCACTTACTAACATGTGTACTATCCGAATCAGCTTTGTCAAGGGCTGGGGTGCCGAATACAGGTAATCCTGTCTACATTTTTTGTGCACAATTCACTCTCTTCATCGGCGGGAAACCTGTGACAGTCGGAGCTGAGTCAAGCTTGTCTAGCTGACTCACTCCAAGTCTCTGTCTATATATGTTGTGCTCTCCCTGTAAAATGCCTTCGCATGGAGAAATCCAACTCGTAACCCTTGAGTGCCTCTTTACCCCTCAACTTCAGGCGTCAGACAGTGACCAGCACGCCTTGTTGGATAGAGCTTCATTTGAACGGTCCCCTTCAATGGCTGGACCGTGTTCTCAGCCAAATGGGGTCTCCTAACCACCCGTGTACGTCAGTCAGCTAGGCCAAATCAAACCTGCCCCACCTCCCGCCCTCGAACCCAGTCACAAAGGAGAATTATTGCTTCCGCCACCACTTACGCCTCTGCGCCATTCATTGTGTGACTGCGTCCTGTTTTTCCAAACCTTTATCGACGATGCATTTCGCTTTTTTCTCGACTGCTTCCTTTCAACCAACCACTGAAACTGCTTCCACATATCTCCATCTGCCACCTCCCATTTCTCACTTGGCGATTGTGCTCATATGTACGCACATGTGCGTATTTGAACGTGGGCTTAACCCTTCCACCTATGTAGGACTTTGTGTACCTTTCGTTTCCGCACGCTTCTTGTATGACTTAATTTTCCTCTTTCCTCCGTCATAAGCACATATTCCCCCTTTTTATGTATTCTTTGATTATGAATAAAGACGGGTAATATGCTGTCAAGGTGGTATCATCCTCAAATCAAGTATTGCTTGGCAATGGTGAGATTGTTTTTCGTGTTGGCATCTGAAGCTATCCTGGCTGTCTTTGTAAGTGACTTTGTTTCTGTGTAAGTCGGTCATGATAACATGTTTTGGTATTTGCTTTAGATCTTTGCGACCGTTGGTGCTTTCATGTGATGAAATTACCGATTTACCTCGTCGTTTCAGTAGTGATTTATTATTAGCAATGTTAGGTTCATAACGCCCCTCTAGAATGGATTCCCTCGGCTGCTCTTCGTCCTTGCCTTATTCCTATACATTAGCATCCTGAGCTTATTTAGTTTGGATTGAATGAATACGATAGAAGGTGTCTCAAGGACGTCAGTCATTCGGGTCGGTGTGCTTATTGGTGTTTTTCATGTATTTTGAATGCATCCTTCAGATGACGGACGGTCGGTACATGCGATGCCTTGACAGATCGGCAATACTCTGTCCCAGAGATGCGGAATGTAACTCGGACACAGTCTTTAAACTCATCTGCTTGTTAATGTAAGGATACAAAAGGTTGAAACACTGACCCTTTTGAGTTACATTGAAGGAGTTACTGGCTACCTAGGGGATGTGATCACTTCAAGGGAGGAGTCTTTGCCAATAGGTATTGAATTAGCTCTCACAATCATATCATAGGACACCATAGCACCCTATCAATGCCCTCTTAGAGATGGTTCTCGCCGCAGTGAGTCCCGACCTTCAGTTTCACCCAATCTACGCATTGCCAGTTACTACTTTGTATCACCTTTCGGTGAGTTGTTGATTGCATTCAATTGCTATTTGGTGGTTTTGTATTGACGTT